GTGGCCACTTGAGTGACAGGTGGATTGCCGCTGCTGACACTGCCGTCGAGCTAGGTGGGCGTGGTTTCAACAACCAGCTCCCGCCTTTTTGCCCATTTTCGATTATCCGGGGGTGACGCGCTGCCAAGATGGCGACGGCCGGCTCCGCCCACTTTGGGCTTCAAAAATGCCCTTCAGAAACCAACGGGTGACATCACGGACACTACGTCCATATTTGTTACAGTCTATGACAAGGATGTACGTTTTTTCCCACATATTGTAGGGATAGATGTGTGTGGAAAGATCAGGCCGAGGTGAACTGACACCCTTATACAAGTTGCTCCTATAGAAGACAAAATATAAAAAAGTTAAAAATGAGCCATGAAGTGAGTTACACACAAGTTGAACAAACCAACAAAATAAATGAATAAAAAAGGCTTCATTTGTTTGAAAAGCCAGATGAGATGGACTTTCTTGCTTGAACAACACTATCAATGAATATTAGAATACAATTTAGTGTATGATCAGATGATCTGAGGTCTCACCAATATGATTACCTCAGATAATTCTTGGATAATTTGACTCAAGCCATTGACGTAACTCTGAGCACATCTTAAAGTGACCGAGTGAAAAGCACCATATTTGCTATGAATGCTACGTGCGCTGGATGTGACAGAGCTGGCTGACTTCGAATGTAAAAGAGAGTGTGCATAAAGCCTATTACCAAATATTTGGGCCTGACTAAATGCAACCAAAAAGACAATAAGAACAGAACTGAAGTTTTCTTTTATCTTTTTACCATGCAATCAGAAATGTTGTTATTTATAAAATACGTTTTTTTTACATTTACAATTTCAACTATACAAAGATGTACTCTCCTAAAGACTTGTCATGTTTTAGTCATTCAGCTTAACACTGACTGAATTCAGCACTCTTATATCAACATGAAAATATTTTGTAATTATCATTTAAATCTAACAAATTTTTATATTATTTGCCGTCAGTCGTAACCATCTCAACACAACTTTAGTGAGCGTTCAAAGCAGAATATCACTTTTATGAAAGATTACATTTACGTTATGACACAGGCATCAGTTTAACACGTCACCTGTAAAGTACAGCATGCTTATCAGGCATTTCTTTTTTCATTACATTACCAAAAACACATTAATATACAAATTACAGACAATGAATTCATACATATTGAGAAAACCCATGAACACTGACTGAATTCAGCACTCTTATATCAACATGAAAATATTTTGTAATTATCATTTAAATCTGACTAATTTTTATATTATTTGCCGTCAGTCGTAACCATCTCAACACAACTTTAGTGAGGGTTCAAAGCAGACCCAAGCAAATAATTATAGTAAACAATAGGATAAAAATAACAAATCATTTCCATGTTTTCACCACAAAATTACGCTTTATTATGCACGGAAAACAGATGCCGTCTTTGTCCCGTTCTCTTCCATAGAAACGTACACATGGAAACATACACGTGCACAGAAACGCATTACTCTAATGATTTTATGAGCAAAAGAGTTTAGCAACGTAAAAGCTACATGGCGTTTCTCACTAGCGAGATAATAACGGCACTATTGTTGGAGAAGATGAGCGTACAGTTTCACTACTAGTAGATATGCTGCTGCCGAACACTAATGAGAGATGGACAGACTCCAGTAATTCACAAACGCTTAATCTCTCTCTCTCTCTCTCTGTCTAATAACTTCATTAATAACTGCACTGGTCTGCTATCAACGGCTCAAAAACCTCCATTACTAGGTCTAAAATTACTTTTCATAATAGTTTTCATAATTCATCATATGTTGGTCAATTATATTATAATGGGTTGTATGGAGATTTTGATTGCTATTTTTTTGCATCTTTTTGATTTTGTATCTTTCTATATCTCCTCTGGATATACTTGTAAATTGTCAATGAAGTAAATGGTCTGTTACTGATTCATTAATTGAACTGATTAGATACACGTGTGTTGAGATGTGAATTGAATAGAAAAAAAGAACCGTTTCAATAGTATGTGAACACTGAGGAAGGTCCAGCGTTGTCGATTTTAACATGCACTGAGCACTTTTTTGCACTTTATAAGAATAAAATAAGATTGCTAGTATCTCGGCATGTAATTCTTTTATTTGGATACACAGCAAACGAATTTCAAGATGAGCTTTTTTGCTCTTTGATGGACTTTATTTTTTACATAATTAGCAACAGCATTGGATGAGATGCGTAAGAAATAAATCCAACTCACAAGAGCCTGTTAAGGGCAAAAACTGAACGAATGTATTGAAATACATCATCTTGATGTCTTGAGGTGTGGTAACCATAGTATATGCGGAATAATTGACTCCGGTCCATTGAATTATTAGAAAATAATGCACACCCAAGGATAATGCACACTATTGTACTCCGCTTCACATCAATGGGCCGTCTTCAATTATTCCTTACTTAAATCACTAGATGGCACATAAACCTTTCCAAAACATCAGATTTTCAAGGTGCACATGGATATTTGTCTCATCTTTGACATAATTGCACTAAGCAATACTAGCAGTTTAATTCTGTGCTAATTTGATGTAATATTTCTTTTTTTTTTTTTGGAGATATGTACATGTAACTCTTTTCCCGCCAAGCACAGAATGTTCCGGGTTCCCACATTTTCACTGTTATATGCTAGGGGCGCTTTTACGCATCTCCTGAAGGAGTCCAGAATCTTCTGAGCAAAAACACAGGTGAGGAAGTCGCAGAAATGAGCAATGTAAGCAGATGCATTTGAAAAATAATGCGATCTCAGGCCTTGAGGTTTCAGCCTTTTGAAGTTGTGGCGGGCACAGGTCCGTAAGTGCTCCTGGCAGATGCTGAACACCCAGTCATGATGGGCAGAGATCACGAATAGCCAAAAAACGCCCAACGTAGTCGAAATTGGGAGGGAATCTACCGCAACTGCTCAAAGACGACGATCAGGTATGGCCACAGGAGTACATGTGCACAAAATAAAACAAAAAGCCTTAAGGCTTGTTCACACCGGGACGAATATCGCGCGCGATTATCGCAGACGTTTAACGCCTCGTGACTAAACAAAGGGCACCAATGTGAGTGTGCACACCAACGCGCAAAACGCGAGGCGTAAAAGCGTCATTTTTTAAAAAACGCCTCGGGCTCGTTTTTTTTGGTTTGACGCGCTGCGTTAAAAACTGGCTGACCAATGAGATTGGTGCTTTTGTTCACGTGACTGGAGCTGCTGAAGTTACAGTAAAACACGACTTGGTGGCGCTCAAGCACAAAACGGTCTTGCCGAGCACACATTGATACCTAACGACGAAGAGGAAGTAAGTAGAATTTGCACGTTCACTCGGCTCATCGCCTGCGAAAATCGCTTGGGTATGAACACAAAAGACGCGTCGAAAAACGTCGGCGATAAGCGCACGCGATAAACGTCCTGGTGTGTATGAGGCTTTATGGTGAAGCATAAAGAGGTGAAGGATGCAAGTAAAAGAAGTATTCAAGGTGTCAAGGAGACAATTTTTATTACACTCTATAACAAAGAACACAAACATAGTCTCATGTTTGCATGACTTCTCACGTTAAGTGTGAATGCAAAAAATGTTTTTCTTACACTGACTACAATTGAATTGTCTTTGAGAATGTAGAAATCAATGTAGAATGAAGATGATTGTAGAAATCGCTCCTTTTTCTAAAACCTCGTCACTCTGAGGAAAATGGCAATTTCTTCCCAGAATGCATTTGCATATGACGATTCATGCTGCTTTTACATGTGAACCGCTTCTCACACTGAAGACACTTGTAAGGTTTCTCTCCAGTGTGAACTCTCATGTGAGTCTTAAGGTTTCCTATAATCGTGAAACACCTTCCACACTGTTTGCAGGTGAAAGGTTTCTCTCCAGTGTGAACTCTTATGTGATTCTCAAGGTTTGTATTGCTTGAAAAACTCTTTTCACAGAGATGGCACCTGAAAGGCTTCTGTCTGTTGTGAATTTTAACATGATCCTGAAGGTGCTTTGTGTCTGTGAAACGCCTTTTGCACTGATGACATTTAAAACGGTTCTCTCTTGAATGAATCTTCATGTGCTTTCTAAGGCCTTCTTTACATGTGACACTCTTTCCACACTGATCGCATGTGAACAGATTCTCTCCCGTGTGAATCCTCATGTGAGCCTTAAAATTTTCTTTTCGTTTGAAGCCCTTTCCACACTGTTCGCAGGTGTAAGGTCTCTCTCCAGTGTGAACTCTCATGTGGACATTAAGGAGTGCTTTCAGTGTAAAACTCTTTCCACACTGATCACATTCAAATGGCTTCTCTCCAGTGTGAATTATCATGTGAGTCTTAAGACCGTTATTTAATGAGAAACTTTTCCCACACAGTTTGCAGGTGTAAGGTTTCTCTCCAGTGTGAATTCTAATGTGAGCTTTAAAGTTTCCTTTAACCCTGAAACTCTTTCCACACTGAGGACAGGTGTAAGGTCTCTCTCCAGAGTGAATGATCATGTGGGACTTAAGGTGATTTCTCCGTTTAAAACTCTTTCCACACTGAGTGCATATTAATGGCTCCTTTTTAATGTGAATTTTCATGTGGACTTTAAGGCGTCTTTTTTGATTGAAAATTTCTCCACACTGTTGGCATGTGTAAGGTCTCTCTCCAGTATGAACTCTCAAGTGGGGTTTGTTAAGGTTTGTAGTTTTTTTAGCTTTTATTGGTGAGGAAGTCTTTTTAGTTTGTGAGCAACTAATCAATTTTTCTTCAGTTTTGAAATTATTATGTTTTTCATTTTGATCTTTAACTTCCGTTTCGTTCAGTTCTTGATTTTCCTTTTTCAGTGCCATCAGGTCTGTGGTGAAAAGAGACAAATAACAACACCAGATTGGCATAAAGCAACAGACATCAAAACATGACAAAATCCAAACACATGTATGCTAAATCTTATACCTACTAAAGTACTGACAGAGGTGTAACCTGTAATCTCAGAACCTCTTGATAAATCGAATGTGATTGTCATGCATATCATGTCAGTAAAGCCGGTTCTGTGATTAGTAGTAAATCTCCATCACATGCTTTCAGATGGAGCAGCATTTACTACACAGAGCCGTAGTTCACTGACAAGCTAGAAAAAAAAAATATCGCAGACGATATCATAAATATTATACATTGATATTGTGAAATCGCACTGTGATAATGAAAGCTGTTTGCGTAGCTTCTCAGTGAACTACGGCTCCA